AGGGTGCAGCCCAGGGGGTGGCATTGCTCTGCCCTGGGCACCTGGAGAAACCCCACACCCACGAGCACCCCTTGAACCCCAAACACCACCCGCAGCCTCTCGCCCAGAGCCCCAGCTGGCAGCAGACAGCCCAACTCCCTGCCCTGCAGCCAGGCTCGTCCACCCTGTGAGGCCAGGGGCTCCTTGGCCTCCTGTCCCCTGTGTCCCTTTGTCCTGGGGCCACCTTTTGTGGCACGTCCTGGAGCTGCCCACACCATGGTGGCCTAGTGCAGATCTTACAGATGTGTGCAGGGTGTGCTTGTCCCAGGGATTCCCCTGATCCGACAAATTCATCCTTTTGGGTGGTGCTGGCCAGCAGTTAACCCTTTAGTGCCAGTGCCTCCCCATCCCAGTGCAGCCCTCCCTGCTGCCCCATCGGTGGGCTGATCCCAGGGGCCAGATCCCCTCCTCTTCCTGGCCTGGCGTGAGAGCCTCCACATCACAGAGAGCTCCTGGCTGTTGGACATTTATTAACATAGGACTAGGTGAAAGCTCTCCTAGAAATCCATCTTGAGAAAAGCCCATGCGAGGTGGTTTCCTGGCCCTGCCCTCAGCCTTGGTGTGGCTGGGGTGCTCCTGCTCTTCCCCAGGGTCCACGGCCACCCCACAACATCTGCAGCAGATGCTGGGTGCCTGCCCAGACATCACGTCAGTTCCCTGAAAAAAGGCTGAAGGGGCACTTGGGTGCTCTCGAGTGTCCTGCCAAGTGGGCAGTGGCCGGAGCTGGCAGAGATCTTCCCCCAGCACAGGGAGATGCCTTTCCTTCCTGCTGCAGGGCACACTGTGCCCTCCTCCCCGTGGGGCTGGAGGGGTTCTGGGCTCTGTGGCAGCCCTTGGGGTGCAGGCATGACCCTGGGGGTCCCTCAACACACTGTAAGGGTTGCACAGACCCTTGGGCACCGCTAGCTCTATGGGACAGAAAGTGCATCTCGGGTGTGCTCCCTGGGCACAGCAAGAGCTGGAGGAACCTCTGCAGCCCACCCAGGCACCCCGATTTCCCAGCTCATGCTGGGCAGGGGCCTTGCTGCAGCTCACCCAGCCCAAGGCTGCTCAGAGTCCCTGCCCTGCTAAATCCAGCCCTGGCTGAACGCTCACAGCACCGCTCCCCACCCAGGCTCTGCCCCCGTGGAGCTGGGCTGGTAAAAATCCTCAGAGCCTGGAGTGCTCCCCCAAAACCAGCTTCATCCCCCGGAGACAGGGGGTG